TTGTTGAAGCAGTCTCATTCGCTCCATTGTGGACAACTTCGTGGTAATGCATGGCTCTACCGCATGAACCTCGAGTTGTCACCCATTACTTGTAAGATTGTCACAATCAACTGGCCATCACGTTCTGAGCACTACATGAATTCTATAGAACACATGAGACATGATAAAGGGACGGGTTAATAAATGATTTTAAACGTTAATTAAAATACCCTTCATCAATCACGATACACTTCTCCCAACGTGATAGCAAATAATCTGTAACCTCTGAATATAATTTTGAGTATTTATTATTAACAAATTCTGTAAACGCATTTTTAGCGATTTTCGGCCAATAAATGTTTTATGTGTTCAGCTGTCTGAAAATTGGTAGTCGGTAGGCGAGAAGTATGGAGAATAGGGTGGGGCTGAGGCAGAACCTCATAACCAAAATACAACACTTTTCGTGTTGTCAAATGTGAGACATGGGACCAACAAAATGGGTCTTTTCCGATCGACCAAAGATGGCTTCAGTAATGCTAATTTCTTGTGCATTGCTTCAATTTCGGCATTGATCGTTTTGTCAGGATTCAAGAAGCTGTAGTAAATCAGCCCAAATAAAGTCGACCAGGAATCAACATTAACTTTTTTTGATGAGTTGGGGGCTTTGGAAAATGTGGTGCTGCTTTTCTTTGTTTCAAGCCAACGTCCAGAACGTCTGCTGTTATCGTAGAGAATCCATTTTTCATCACAAGTAACAACTCTTCCAGAAAAGGTTCGTTTCTGTTTCGGAAAAGGAGCGTTGTGCAAACTTCAAAACGATGATTTATTTTTCGATCGTTTAATGCATGAGGAACCCAACTTTCGAGCTTTTTAACCTTTCGCCTTAAGGTGATCAGAGACGGTCGATTTGTTAACTGAAAGATTCTCTGCAAGTTATCGAACAGTTGTCGGATTTCTTCGACCAAAGCTCGCACAACATCATCATCTACGACCTTCTTTGTTTTCATGGCTAAAGTCTCCCTCTCGAAATTAGGTAAATCGAAATGATATACTAAATGAAATAAACAACCATTTTTGTTTGGAAGAAAATTAAAAAGTTGACATTCGTACAAAAGAATAATTCATCAAACGTAAACAGTTTATTATAAAGAGTGGTAATTGAAAGAAAACACGAAAACCAGCATTATTTTACGGACAACCCAATAACTTAGAAAGCTTACAACCGTTTCTTTTCTCGCAATAGAATTTTAATCAGTAAATTGCAAACGGTCAGCCCTTTTTGCCACTTAAAGTCAAATTATCCCGAAACCCTCTCTACTTTTTAATTAAAAAATGAAAAATGAAAATTTGGAAGTTAAAACATTATTCGTTAGGAGGATCTAAATTAATTTACATTGTCAAAATAAGAGGAGCTAATTCATCAAAAAGCTACTACATACTACTCTGTGGTGGATATTATGGCTGATGTAGCTAAAAAAAAGTACTGTTGCGCTCCTACTCTTTATTACAGCATATCTTAACTTCATGCTTCCGATAAGCTGCCTTAGCTTCATACAAAGTGGACACTTTCAATTATGCTGACAGGACTGAGATTTCCTTTTCTTTAAGCAACATATTTCCAAAACTCCAGCAATACTTAATCACCGCGATCGCTAAAAATGCAACAGAACCATGATTAAAAGAAAATGGCAGGGTCGGTGGGCCGGATCGGCCGAGAAGCTCTCGCGTATCAAGACCACTGTCGGTAGGTGGAGCTCGGAAAACCTGGCCAGTAGAAGGTGGGTCATCCTCACCCGATTAAGAATAGGCCAAGCGAGGTTGTCCGGCAAATATAGAAAAGTTTGTTCGATGTGTCCTACCTAATTGATGGGCGCAATTCCTTGGCTCCATATAGACAGCATATAGTTATTAGAATCGTGCTTCAGCATGGCAGCGAGTGTCTGGGCGCCTCTTCATATTTTGGAGGAAACAGGGTTGTTTTATGTTACATAATACTGATAGTTTTGTATAACCTAGCGTGTGTGGAGAGAGGATGTATTTATTAGCGGGAATGTGTAATGTGAGAGGATGGCGGAATATTGAGAACCCTATCGACCCTCGTTTAGGTTAGTTGTGTAATAGGTGTTGAGGGTGATAGAGGAATATCGAGTACTCCGCCACCCTAACTGAGTGAATGGTAGTATCTTTACCCGATTAATAATGGACGAAGTGTGACAAGGACATTTACTTTTAACGTGTCCGGCATGTAGAGAAAGGTTGTTCGAAGTTTACCATCCAATTAAAGGGTACAATTCCTTGACTCCGTACAGAGAGCGCATAGGATATGAAAATTGTGGTTGAGCACGCCAGCGAGTATCTGTGCCCCTCATCCTTATTTTTGGAGAATACAGGGTTTTATTGTATATCGTAATGATAGTTTTGTGTCATTAGCGTGTGTTGAGAGTAAATGTATTTATAAGTGTGAATGTGTAGTGTGAGAGGGCCGATGGCGGAATATTGAGTACCTCGTCGACTTCAATTAGGTTAGTTATATAATATGTATAGGGTGATGGAGAAATATCGAGTACTCGATCACTTTGAATGTAAGTATTTAAGTATGTAAATAAGAAAAATGTATTTAAGGGTGAGTGAGAATGTGAAAAGTATGTAATTGCGTTGAGTGCGGAAATCACCTAGCTGTTGGTATAGTCCCTGAAGCCCAACCCCGGCGGCTCGTCGGATAAGACCGAGTTCTGCGGATTACCAACACCCGGAGTAGGTGATTCTTGAGGCCTGCCGGTAATTCATTGTAAAGTAGAAATGCTGGAATTGTTGGAGAGTAAGTGTCCTTCTGTTTTCCTAGTCCATTCTTAATCGGGTAATGATCCCTCTCCTACGGTTCAGATCTTACCATTTAGTCAGTTATAACCTTTACTCTGTACAAGTGCAATAAATGGGTGTGCAGATTTATGCTTGTACAGGGTGTCCCAGAGAAAGTGCAAAAAAATTGTGTGTGATAGTACACCCTATTTGCAACTTCCAACGTAAAGTCCTTATACCTATCTTCAGTCTCTGACGAATAACGATTTTTGTTAATTATTCCATGGAAAACGATACCTTATTTCACAATAACACGAATATCTATCACACCTTCTCCTTAGCGAATCCCGAAACGTAGAAAATCCATAACACGGGATTGCTGTTTGTTGGTTGTAGGTGTACTGTTCAGTAGCGAACAGTGGTGAAGATTTATGGATCAAAAACCTCGAAGCATCAGATAAACTTAGAACCAATCTGGCCAAAAAGAGCACGGATGTGGGTCAGACATCGTGGTCATCATTTTGAAAACAATTTGTACTGTCTAATGCTTGTAAATACGTCAATAATTTATTGTGGATAAAATTATACTACTTGAAGATCAAACAATTCTGTTTATCATCATCTTTGTTTATCATCAGTTGATCTCATGAACGTTTTTCAACAATTGATACGCAGCTAGTCTACTGTAATCAGGGGAGGGTATGGATTTCCTATACCGTTTGAAAGCTTAATAAATAATGAAATTTTCGTGAAGTTTGACAATCCCTAGGACTAAACATAGGGGCATATTATTATACATTCTTTTTTTAAAAAACCAAACTTTGTAGTATTTTTAAAATTTGAGCATTGTCATTAAATTATTTCAGATGAAAATAGTATAAAGTAAATTTAATGCTGAATCCAAAACTGTGGTAGCTCTGATGCTAGATATTTGTGTAATTCTCAAGTAAGGTGACGTTTCTTAAGGAAATACAAAACAAAAATCGTAATTCGTCAGGGAATGAAGATAGGTATAGGGACTATACGTTAGAAGTTGTTACAAATCAGGTGTACTATCACCCAAAAAAAAATTTCGTACTATCTCTGTGACACCCTGTGTAAATCAGTAATCAGCAATCCAGAATTCGTTTAGAAAAAAGACCCATATTACAAACAAAATTACTTTTCTTTCTACTCCTCTTAAATTACTTGCAATTGTACCATACAGGTTGCGGGACTTGGACCAAGACCAGAATACAATTTGTAGCTACACTTTATTTTAGTGACAAAAAAAAGAAGCGTTTTTTTGAAGGGTGATAAATAAACGACGTGAATGATGCAAGGCTCACATTTTAATCAAAGCAGCTTTGTCCACTTTGACGATTGACGTGCAACAGTTCCTCTCTGTGTGCCAGGGAGTAATCGAGCCCGTCTCTGACACAATGCCCTCGGTAAATGTCAGATGGTGCTATTGTAAAACACTACGGTCAGTCAAACTTCCACGGTTCCATTCTATATGGCTAGATTTACACTTGTGAAATACATGAGTATTTACATACAGCGACCGTTCTTCAAATCCTCAACTAACTCACAAAACAGGAAGTGTTCGACAAATAATTTTGACTACTACCGCATGACGTCATCATTTGCGGGACGATGAAACTGTAGTTTGGCCGTTTCCGATCACTCACTTGTTTGTTTTATCAGAACATCTTGAGGGCTAGATCATCTGATAGAACAGACTACCCAGGAATGACATACCAAAACGATCCATAACGACCAAACTACACGATCATTACCACTCTATCGTGCATCTTGAAATTTGATCATTACCGGTCATTTCGATCTGCCTAACAGTTTGCTTTCCTAAAAAACTCAGGTAGTCATCTACCCAATTTAGCTAGAAAATCACAGAAGTAATACCCAAAGAAGTGCGTTTTTCAGGCATTTTGCCTTCTTAAGTGGACGGTCCAGGTGTTTTAAATCTGTCATGACTATCACATGAAAATCAAATAGACCCACCGGTAAAAATGGCGAAATGTCAAGCCAGCGAGGATAGCTGGACCAAAATGATAAGAAACAAAAGAACTACAGGTTCATTAGTACCCGCAAGAGGTCATTAGTACCTAGTACTTTTAGAACATGTAAACTGTTCTACACCAGTAACTAACTGTATTGACAAAAAGGATAAAAGGACAAAAACTTACAGAATACTTTTAAAATTGAACAAATCCTTTTCTTACCTCCCTTTCGTTGTTCGTAAAAGAGATTCCTAAATTTGGCATTGCTCGAAGAATTGCGACTAGAGATTGGATTGTGTTGCTGTACACTACAGGCCGATATTGCTTGAAATCCTCAGGCGTGAATCCGCTTTCATGAATAATTCTGAAACAAACAAAAAAAAATGAAAATTTGTGAATGTATAAAACAGGATGGACAACTGATGCCGAGTTCGACATTTTGCTGTTTCAAATGGTACTAAAAATGAACTGCATAACGGTTTAATTCGTGTAATGCAGTTATGAGGCAACTAACGTAGGAATCTGAATGGAAATGAGTTCAGAACGATGTCGAGATGCTGGATAAATACGAGGAACCCGGCGTGAAAATAGAAAATGTTTACACGAGCTACGAGTCTTCCCCACAAACAAATTCTTCTTGGGAACACTATGATCGATTTTACGATATGCACCGATAAAAGGAAAGAGGGAAAAACGCCAAACACTAACCGAATCCTAAAAAAGCTAGTAAAAAATTGGTACACAATGATTAGGCAGGGTACAAAATAATGATGATTTGGCGATCATGAGATGTGGTCTGGTGTGATGTAGGTTTTTCTTCATCGTGCCAACGTTTCGATCTATATTGGCCCTGAAGATGATCTCAATAAGGAACGTTTGAACAGCGGTTTGAACACTTTCAAAACTTTCAAAGTTTTGGACATTTAAAAAATTTTCTAATGACCTAAATAAATAGTTGTCATGAGGTGAAATGTCCGGAGAGCACAGAGGATGTGATAGCTTTTCCCAATTCAGATTAGTTAATAATTGTTTGCTCCTCAAAGCAGCGTGGTGAAAGACTACTTCTTTTCTGTTTGTTAGTGCGGGACATTTTCCTTCATTTGAAGGTCTGAAGTTAGCAGTTCACGGTACAGTTCGCTATTAAGCGTTTGCTGTCGTGGTAAAAGCTCAAAATGCAAGGTGCCGGACTTGTCCCACCAAATGCACAGCATACGTTATTTTTTTCGTACATTTGATGTTTGGGAACAACTGGGTCCGTTGACAAGTTGCCAATAAGCATTTTTATGGGCTATGGTTTTGTATGTGATCCGTTTGTCACCAGTCATCATCTGATAGAAGTCTATGAAGAAATGGATCGTAAGAGTGGCGACAGAGGGGTGAAGAGTAAATTGAGATGCGATCCGCCAAATTCCTTTCGTTGAGTGCGTGCAGGATCCATGTAACATACTTTTGAACAAATCCAAGTCTTTGGATGTGGTTTTCAATGGTTCTATGGGAAGCTTTTAACATCTCTCCTAGTTCTCGGGTCTTCAAAAAGAGATTTTCTTCTAGCCTCGATATATCGTCGTCAACCTCAGAAGGACTGCGTGCATTATCTTCAAGAATAAACTTTTATTTCTCTAATTCGACCAAACCACCGTTGGATTTTACGAATAATTAACAGCATTAGCGCCAAAACCAGCACACAATTTTTCAGTTGCAACAGTTGAATTGTTCCCTCTTTGGAATTCAAAAGTAAACAATGCCTTAAATGCGTTTCATCCAGAGGCAAGATTACCTATTACATTATTTGACAAAACTAAAGAAGTTAAAAACATAAGATGAAGAGTAATAAAGCCTTTTAATTTACGGATAAAACAAGTGTATTTGTCAATAAAAATAATTAGCAAAAATTAATTAATCTTTTGTAAAGTATTGGTTGAAATGAAAAAGTTAGTGTCACGAGCGGGATTCGAACCCACGACCTTCGGCTAAATACGACGCTGCTCTAACCACTTGAGCTATCGTGACTTCGATCCACTACATGAAGATTAATTAATTGAAAGAAATTATTTGGTCAATCGGACCAGGAAATGTAATGGATTAAACAGAATATAGTTAAAATACGTCTGATAAACAAAGACCAGACTAGGGAGAGAGAAATGATCAGGAAACAACCTAACTAAAGTAAAGAGTTTGTTGAATGTTTATAGGAACTTAAGAAACCTATCACAGGAAACGTCTTACTAAAAGGAGACTGTTTGACTTGCAAGTGTGCACCTTTGGACGACTTAAAAATAATACGTTTAATTTCTTTAACCCTTAGCTCTTAACTACTCAGTTATAAAATTACGCTTTATACATAACCGGAATATATTTATAACTGGTTATATAATGCGTACCTTTTGTGTTTGTGTTTAAAAGGGTCGCAAACAACAAAAGCAGTTATTTTTACAATGGACGTAATTGAAACATTAGAAGAGCAGTTTTCAAAGGGAAGACGACTTACTTTCACGGCGACGCCCTTGGCTCACCTATTGTTACAAACGTTGGCTTAAAATAAAATGTCGCGAGCTCCGATTCAGGGTAAGACATTGATCGCAACACGTACAAACACCTCGGAAAAACGGCGACATAAAATTGCCAGGTGAAGTATTCAACAGTGCGTGCAGACTTACATCGCGATGAAAGGCCGGATTTTCTAATTTAGGTCTGATTTTCTAATATTGGAAAAGGCGGAAATTACATCCTGACATTTCCTTCGACGAGGGATCGATTAACGGCACGTCGGTTTCTAGGGCTTCCTCCAATCAGCAGTTGTCATTAATTTTTAATTGGAAGTCTCGAAACTCACGGGTTTTGGGTTCCTCTCGGTCGAAACCTTCCTACTAAATACTTTCGAAAATTCGTCGTTATTGGTAACTTATACATATTAAAAGAACTTCGGACTCGAGATCGCAGATTTTAATTAAAGCTTTTTTTGTGTAATAACAGTTCGAGGGGGCGTCGGTGGCCGCAACGGTTGACACGGCGCTCATCACTGTAAGGTGAAGGTCCAGCGACCCTGCATTCGAACCCGACAGTTCAAAACATATTAGACTTGTACGAGCGTTTTTGCCTATCAGCTCTAAGAAGCGAGACAATATGTTTTACTGAATATTTTGTATATTGTACATATATTGTAAAAAGTAATTAAAAAAGCAATTGCACCACTAAAAAGGATATTAAATGGGGTACGTTTTCTGAAATTTGCTGGTCTCTAGGTTTGGAAATACTAGTTTAGAATCGCCATAGTAAGTTTTTCAATTTTGAACAAAAAAAAACCATTTTTTTAAAGATCTTCGCTCCTAAAATACTCATTTCATGAACGTTTGCAAGTTTAGTATTGATGGCATCTTATTGGAAATTTAACGTAGTTTTCAATGGTGTCAACGGATTTGTGCTAAACCTTTTAGTTTTGGAGTTATCATTGTTCATTTAAAGCAAGGTCGTGAAATCTTAAACAATCAGATAAAGTGAAATGACTCCGAAACTGGTGAAATTCGGACCATAAATAATTAGGACTTTTTGGTTCCATTTTGAATGTAGAATCTACTGGCAAAGGTTGTAACACGAGTAGCCGAACACCCTGTATCATTTTAAAGCATTTTTTAGATGTAAATTGCAATAAAAATAACCCAAAAATTTATAAACCCAAATATTTTTAAAAGTAAACTAGGTCATAAAAAATCTTTTTTTCTAAAATTTATATAAAATTTCGGTTGAGCACCTCTAGAGATCTCTAAATATAAATTTTTGTTTGAATTTAAATTGATCTTAGCTTTTCAAAGACGTATATACCATAAAATATTTCTATAAGAAAATACACAAAATATCTGTTTTTTAAAGGAAATAATAATCCGATTTTCGTGTCTGAAACAATTTCTTTAAAATGAATTATCACCCATGAAAATCACTCCACTAGCTTTTCAGAAAAATAATGTTAGAGCTTGCACTAGAAATATCAGTCTGGCAGACAGGTCTTCGAAATTATCAGTCAAAAAATTAATTTACACCGATTTCCGCAAAAGTCGTTTATTGAAGGGTTTTATAACTTTAAAATCACGACAATCAGGTGAAATCCAAGTTTTGACCATTTTCTGACCTACTTTGCTTACGAATATTGATTAAAATACGCCAAAAAGCAGTGCTTTGTTAATACATATTTTTAAATCATACCCAATTAGAATTTTTTGCAAGGATTCGCAACAGCAGAGGTCATATAAACCTTCAGGGTGCCGGTGTCGGGTTCGAATGCAGGGCCGCTGGATTCGAACCCGCGACTTTTATCTTACAGTGATGAGCGCCGTGTAATCGCCCCGTTGCGGACACCGATGCCCTAATATTCTGTGATGTATTCGTAGAACATTTTTGTTTTTATATTAACCAACAATCAAATTAATACTCCAAAAATAATATTTTTTAATAAAAAACAAGATTTATCCTCATTTAATTAAATTTACTTCAGGTTTGAGTGTTAAAATCCTTTTAACAGTTTTTGAATTATAGCCGTTTCAACCAGATATTCCGAAAACGACTTCTCAAAAATCCGAAAAACTATAAGTGTGTAAACATTGATCAATTTAAATTTTTAAAAATGTATATTTAGGGGTCTCTAGATGTGCTAATACGAAATTTCGTATTAGTTTCACGAAAAAAAATTATGACCAAGTTTACTTGAAGAATATTTGGTTTTTAGCCAATTTTGGTTATTGATAAACTTTGGTAGCTTTTACTATAGTTTTAATGCAATCAACAACAAAAAATCTGTATTTACGATGATTTGAGCAAGTAGAAAGGCGAAATACAAATATTAAAAAAAGGAAAATGTCAACTTTCAAACATTTCATTTCGCGAAACCAGGGCCAGTTCACAAGAAGTGGCGTATAAATGTCCGACATTTTGGAGTGTAGAATCAGCAAAAAAAGTTTGGTTCAAACCCGTGATCCGCCAACCAGGTCGTCCCTTGTTAATATGAGAAAATATTATTCTGGTTCGTAAGAATAAGATTAGATATATAAAAAGCTACAAAACCGTAGTACGCACTCAGCAAAGTAGGTCAAAAAACTTTTTTTATGGAAAACCCAATTTGGATTCATTTTAAGCGTTCTTTAAAGCCCTCCAACACGAAGTTTTATCAATTTCAAAAATAGACATTTTTGGCTTGGTTCGCCAAGTGCATTTTTTCTCGCTGATGTCCAGTGTTTTACTTAAAAATTCATAACTCCTCTGGATTTTGTCCAAATTCATAGTTATCTGAACCGTTTGAAAATGAATGTATCATTTTCAGCCTGTATGACAAATATGTAGATTCTATGCTAACGTAAGTTGCGAAAATAAGGATTA